TTCTGATAATATCAAGCTGTGTAATTAATCTTTATTAGTTTTTAGCCTGGCTGGGAGGAGGAATCAGGGTATAATAGAGAATTGTAACACAGTCATCTAACTTTACCTTTTATCTATAAAATAAATTTCATCCATGTTACTAATGCACTATAAATGTGAGCCTCCAGGCTAGGTGTGAGCTGGATGGAACTAGTTAGTTATTACAAGAAGTTTTCTAATAAAGGTTGGGTTATTTTTCATAGAAGATTTAGGAACTTTTTTGCAATAATTGCATCACTTGTAAGCTATTCATATTCATTACCATAAAGGACAACCTTGGTAAATGATACTTTCATCTCTAGGTACTTATTAGTATTTGTATGCTGATCTCTGATCATCAAAGTGTCTGATACTTTTTCACCTATTCCTGTAATTAAGAGCTATTCACTTATGTTCACATCATACCTATTTTATTACTTGTATCTAACCAAATGTTTCCATTCCACCACTGAAAGTTTGATATGGTATAGTGTAGTTTCAATCATTAGTGTCAGGCAGAACATTATCCCCATCTGAACTTGGGTTGTTTAGTTATTTTAATATCACTTTGTGAGAGTTTCGATGTGTCTTTCAGACTCATGCTGACACAACGTGTACTATTCCTAACATCTAAAAATTACATGTGTCCTTAGAATTTCTTATACTAGACTTTTGTTTATATTCACTAGGTGCATGTTTTTTGTAGTATGTAGGCTGCATGTGTTATTTTTCTTATTGTTAACTATTTCCAAACTTCAACACATATTCATTGTGGTAATTTTGATCAGTCTTTTTTTTTTTATCCAAAGTAAGGTTGCTGCAATCTTTCTTTGAAAATTACTTCAGTCTTTAACTAATATTTAATATTTGAATAATATTACTTCTCAATTAATGTACTTCACGAGTCAATTATTATTATTATTTTTAACTGTGCTTGTTTCTCTTCAGCTAGATAGTGTGGTTTTCTTCATGAAATGGGAATGAATATTATGCTCTAGAAAATCGATTACTGCCCTTTTAGATGAGTTTTTGAACTCCTAGCAATCATCTGTAGTCATACAAACTGTTGTTGATCTAGGCATTACATCTACTAACACCAGCCATCTTAACTTTGTAAATATTGAGCAACTTCATCTGATATACTTCTGATATCTGTCAGTGAAACTACTTGATAGCTTGGAAAGTAATTGATCTTACAATTAATTGACTGTCCTAACTGCTTGTTTTGGCAGTTAATCCTAGCCATATTGATTAGGAGGTTATTGTCTTCATCTTTTCTAGGATAAGTACTCAACTTTTCTTCCTTATCAGCTGAGTTAATACAAAACTACTCTTGCTATCATCTGACTTATCAGTCTCAACCTGCGATTCCTGATCTAGCCAGTGCATGAAAGGTTTATCAGTAACATACAGCTTTAGGTTGTCAATGTGTTCAACATGCTTACACTCATCACTGATCAGTCTCAACCTGCGATTCCTGATCTAGCCAGTGCATGAAAGGTTTATCAGTAACATACAGCTTTAGGTTGTCAATGTGTTCAACATGCTTACACTCATCACTGACAAATGTAATTCATAATTTGACAGACCAAGTTTTTAGAGTATGACACAAGGACCTATCCAGCTGGTTCTGAATTTCTTCTGTGCTGCTGCCTTACCCATTCTCCATGCTGACATGTCCATGCCTTTTACTGTTATATCACACCATCTCTTCTGCTGCATGGCAGCCTTTCCTAGTTTTTAATATGTATTTTATGTTTGTTTACTGACACACACCATAACCACTCCATATATTCATGTAGACACTGCTGTACATATGCTCTAGGGGTCAGATATATATCACTCCACAGGGAACTTTATTTACTAACTAACACAAACACATTTAGACCAAACAACTGTTCCATTAAATGATATCCCACCATGATGTAAGACACATATTTGTCCTAGTCAGTTTTGTAGGGATTAATAAACTTCACAAGCATCCACTTTATAGCTTGTATTACCCATTTTGTTAAACCAACAGACTGGGGTAATAAGGTTAAATGTGCTTCTTCACCACACCGAACACTTCACATAACTTGGAGAGTAGCTGGCTATGGAGATTAGCTTTCTGGTCCATGTGAATATCTTTAGATGCACTGAAGTGTGCTATTCAGTGCTCTACCAGTGCATCAGAAATGGATTGTGCTGACATATTGGCCAGTAGATAAGCATTAGCTCACTTAATGAAGTAATCAGTAATGACCAGCACATGCTGATTGCCTCATTCAGTCTTCAGGAGAGGACCACAGATACCAAGGGCTATTCTCAAATACATTCTACTCTGTTTAAGTTGGTTTTTCCTCAGGGTATCTCACACCAGACAGTTTTATATCAAAGCTCAATGTCCCATTATAATGCAGCCAGTAAAACTGCTGTCACACAGTAGCACAGGTACAAGTAACACCTTGGTGGCTTCCAATACAGTCTTACCTCCTTTAATGAAAGCTATCTTGATCTTCTTTCTGTCCTCTACTAAGCTTTGCTGAAAACATTTCCACGCTTAGCAAACCAGTCTATATATCCCACCAATTTCAAGCCACTATTCAACATGAACATATAGCACGTGACTGCTCTCCATCAATATTATTGTACCACCTATATTAGCGCAGTTAGCTCCATTTGCTATTCCCACTTAATCCTCACTTTTTCGATTAGCACAACATTGTTTACACATGTTTCTTCACATATGGCTCCCATTTATGATTGTGTCACTTTGCCATTTCAAAACTTTTTTTTTTTTCAACTGTTTTATTTTACTGTTTGCATTCAGTTGTTTCAACAATATTTTTTGTGATTGTTTCTTGTTATGAAATTATTAGAGATCTTAGTATGAATTTGCTATTCAATGTATGGACTATGGAAATTCCCATTAGATTTGAAAACACTATGGGTACAACTTCCCAGGAATCGGGTTCAACTTTATCTGCAGAAGAGGTACAGTCTTTAATTTGTAGGGAGCTATTTTCATATGTTCAGCCAATGATTTCTACTTTTAAATTTGACAATGTTTATGAGGAAGAATATTTGGACTCTCTTTTCCTGGCACCTTCTAATTTTGTTTTTTTGTCACACTCTACACCTCTTCAGAAGTTTTTCCATTCCACATTTTCTTTACAGCTAGTTAATCAGATCATCATTCGATGCATATTCTGGTTTTGCTGTATGCTCAAGATTTGGATGATTTTGCTAGTTTTTGTTTTCCTGCTCCAGTTGCTGTTCCACCAACTCGTTTACCTTGGTAGAGGTTTGTTCTTCTCCTCCTTTCTTCATATTGCTTCCAGTTCTCCCAGTGGTTCTGTGGTAAATTTTTTGACTGGTACACTTCACATATACCCATGGTAAGTGTGGATCAGATGCCCTTTGTGTGGCTTTGTCCTCTTTTACGCATGGGAGATTTAAGTATTTTGCTTCATTAGTGCTCAGACTTTGGTAAGTTAGATATTTATGTGTCCTTTGTCGTCTAAGTTAACTTAGATGAATTGTAAGTTAGATTTTCAGTGTAAAAAATTTTTAACTCTCAGTCTACATTGTGTAAATCTAAAGTATTTCTTGCCTAAGAGCTTTGTGGACCACTAACTGCAACGTAGATTGAGAACTGAGTCTCAGTGCTTGATAACTATGTTACAGAAAACCTTTCCACACTCGTAGCTGCTCTTACAAGCACCATAGGTTATGTGTGACAACAGTTTTCTCAATCCTTGTGAGCCTTGCTGCACAACAAAGAATGCCTATGCTAGATCTGTGTTCTTCAATTGATTTTCCCAGAGCTCCTGTAGCATTAACTGTGATACCCAACCACTAGTGAAATCTACAGCAGTATGGTTTGAGGTTGTTACAGCAGAAATGACTTTAACTTCCAAATAGACCGAGTCAGGACATTCAAGGAATGGGCAGTTCATATGCATTACTGTGCTGTGGACCTTGGTAATGCAGTACAACAAAAAAGCCTACATACATGTTTTCAGGAAAAAACTTCATGAATATTTGTTTAGTTTTTCCAAATTTAAAAGTTTCAAATATTCACAAAATTATAGACCCCAATTTCTATTTTCAGTATAAATTAACATAAGTTAATTTTTGAAGTTCAAAAAGAAGAAAAATATTTTGTGTAGTACTTTTAAGTTTGCATCATTTAAGTGTTATATCAAACTATATCTATTTGGCAAACATTTAACACAATTATGAATATTTGTGATCTGATATATTTACTGCAGAAAAATCTAACAAGCTGTTGTACTATAGTGATACTTTGTTGCTTAAAGCAGTTGTCGTCATTAGTCTTTCAAACAAATATTATTTGAAATTTACAATTATTTTTTGTACCTAAAAAGAAAATTTTATATCTAAAGCAAAACATGCATGTTACAAGAACTCAAAAGTCTTAATATTTATTATAAAGGAAAAATCACTTACATTATTACAGGTAAGGTATGCTGAAACTGCAAAAAATGTCAGTTTATTTATGAAAATATTTAGGTGCAACAATTTGGGTTTTAGAAAACTTTCATTTTTAAACATTAAAAACCAGTTGTATCAGTTCTTAAAGTTAACAAAATAAGTGAAATGCATTACTTTAACAGTGTGCAACTTGTACCTCTGTTATTACTGCACAAGCTGACTTGTTCATCACCCTTAATGGGAGAGTATTTTACTTTTTAACTGTTAACCAAGTTAATACTTAGTATTATAACTAATTTATTATATCCAAAATATTGTATATTTTCCTAATTTTTTGCATTTTATCACATAACTCGTGTGTCCGTGTTATTAAAATAGCACCTCAGGCTAAAAAATAAAATTATTTCAAGTTGGTCAGAAATATTTTTTTCTTAACATACACTAAAAGTTTTAAGTTAAATTTATTTTAAAATGTTTCATTAGTGTTTATTGAATGATTAGATTTTTTTATCTCGGGAATATTTTATTTTCACCCTATATAGGCTGCTAGTCTTCGTAGACTTGAACAAGAAAATCAAGAGTCAGCCAAAAGACTTGAGGAAGTGGTTAGGCGAGGCGAAGCACTTTTGGAACAAATTCAACAAGCTCTTCATGACATTGCTCAATCTCAGTTGGACATGCAAAGGCTGCAAGATTCTTTACCATGATTTATTTATTTGTTTTTTTTTACAATTTATTTCATATCATAAGTATCACTTGTGAACCTCTGTACATAATACTAAATGTTTCTTTTCATGTAACATATTCTCATAAACCCAATAAATGGAATGAAATTTAAAAGTGTACTTCATCTTTAGTGTTTACTAGACCACCCGTGACTCGTTGGGTCACCTACTATTCAGAAGTTATTAAGAATTCAAGCTAATTTCAATATTGCACCAAAATGAAGGTTTATTTTGAGATAATTTAATTAAATATTTCAATCCATTCGTGTTATTCATAATTCAAGAAAAG